TATATATATATACTTTATATTTATATATATACATATATATAAAGTACCGATAACGCAATGATTATGAAATGTACCATGATATATTCAGATAGTGGCTACTTTTTTATACGTTGGTATATACCAATACATTCACGAAAATTTTATACACATTCAGAATAAATACTTTTGCAAAATAACGAGCTATTCCTATAATCATTATCGAAAGAAAGAAAACGAGATTGCAAGGAGATATTTGCTGCAGAGATAAGTAGTTTATCAATCGAAATTTAGTAATTTCTCTTATATAAAACATTATCAAGTACTACTATCAATGGAATACTATCAATGGAAATTTACAGGGTAGAGCACATGTTACTATTGTGAAAACTTAAATATAATTTTATGAAACGTTCACACATTTGCTGCAAATAAACATCATTCATAAAGTAATACGGAGGCTTGTATTGATATAATATAAGTAAACTTGTTTCCTGGAAAGACTTTGAGAAATACGACCTTGAATTAATATAGAGGAGCATTTTTAATGTCATTATAAATTATAAGTGATAAGTCTTAACATACTGTTGCATTATGTCATATGTCAGAGGGGATCAGTCTTAACTACTATGAAATCAAGAGACACGGTAGTGTCTCACGCCAAGTAAACGCGCGTGTATATTTACGCGACGTCTCTATACTGTAAACGACGTACTTCTAATGTATATACATTTGCAAAATAATCAAAAGTAATAACTTCACATAAGGTAAATATCATTCCCCCACTGCAATAAACATAATCCTCTTAATCATATCTATGTAATCTAAAGTATCAATTAACTAAGAATAAAAAGGACATTAACATTTAATATCATTGTAAGAAGAGTAGAGAGAACATATATCGGGAGTGTGCAAGATGTTGCTGGGCGACTGATCTACCAGCTATAAGCTACCTAAGCTCCACATTCCGATACATCTCTCTCATCTCTCTTAATGGTCTTTGTTGTCAAGATGGTAATTCCTCTAGTTCAATCGCCTATAATTCGGTTACAAATCTCGTAGGTTCTTACATTACGTTTACTGTGTGTTTATACGTTAACATTTTTTGTAAAATAATGTAATGTAATTGGCTGTGTTCGACAGAGAAAGCAGCTTTACAACTGTATTATGATTTTCTGTTGAACGATACACTAACGGTTTATACTTTTTCAATATATTTATTAAGCGGTCGACATTTTTGTCAGCGTACTTTTAATACGCCGAAACATTTAATGGACATGTTGGAAGAATACAAATCGTTAACTGTTGTTCAGCGAAAAATCCGCAATGCAACGCAAAGTGTTTGAGCTGCTGTTTCTGCTGAATCCAGCTGTTCTTTCTCGTAGGATATTATGTGTGTACAGATCAGCAGCTTCCGAGTGGCACAATTATTAATTTACCTCATTCGCACACTGATGATTTTATTGAAAATAACCTATTTAAACAAGGCTACACTCTATATGCTTATTAAAAATATTTCGAGCTTGTTGATTTCCATGACTGTGAACAATTTCAATTGTACGTATAAACATTTTGGATACACGACTAATGGTGAGTATATTATGTATAGTAAGGTGTTGGGATAACTTGTGTTTCTTTATTTCTTAACCAAAAAGAGAAGGGTACATTTCTGTCAAGGAAATATATTAACCGTCATATTTTTCAGGATCAAAATCTCGTACAGACTTTTATATGTCGTAAGGTTATCAATATCTATAATCTTTAAGATTTACATTGTGTGTATGTGTGTGTATATATATATGTATTGTAGTATTTACAATATATATTATGCATTTGTGTGTAATGTTAACAAAAGACGATACCTAACAATGATGAGAATTCTATGTTTATAGAAATCTCATGGGGAGATGATAGTGACATTGTTTTACAACTACAAAAGTAAAGCCACAGTTTTCCTATACTATACTAGTAAAATAGTTTATTTTATTATCGCGTAAGTTTTTCTATTTATCAAATATTCATGAATATACCCAATATGAATGGATAGAGAAATCGAATGGATAGTGAAATCCTTGATACGAATTTGCAATCTATGTCAACTAAAATGCAATTAAAAGCTCGCCTCACTGGTTGTAGTGCCTTCTCAGATATGTTTGATGACTTGATACACACAGCTAAACGTTCCAACTTTTAACATATGTCATACAATATCTTCGCGAATACGAAGACATCGGTCAAAGTCAAGTTTGTTTCATGTACAAGAAATTTTAGATACTCGCGACTTTTATTTATATGGGTACCGTGTAAGGAGGATTTCGAATATGCTGTTGTAATTTACGAATTAAATGAATGTAGAATTTACGAAATCACAAACTAGAGCAGAATACTTTTGACGATTATATCTAACAATTTTCTTACACTTATCTCTCTAATCAAATTTTGCGACTGTACAGAAAACAACTGCATTTTAACTTTTACTCGAACCCTAGTGTGCATTATAGCAAGGATTAACAATTTTCGTTTAATAAATCTTCAAAATTTCCTACTTTTTTTCATTTTACTATTGTGATATTACTATATTTAAGTATTATATATTTATATGTGAATATATAACTATGTTAACTGTACAAATGGAACTCATTTCATCTACCACTTATATTGACAATAAGTGATCATTTCATTATAGTCATCAACCTTTAATTAGTTAGCTAATGGTATATAAAACATATCGTCAGCGTTATGCAGATGGTTTGTAAGCAGATTAAATAAAACAAAAGAGTCAGGAGATAAAAATTAAAAGAGACAATGATCAAGCTATAAATTAAAGATGCATTTAAAAGAAATTTAAAAATTTATCATTATATATTTACAAAATTCATATAGGCTTATGATCGTTACCTTGATCGATGCTACCATACCAAATATTTAAAAAAACACACACTGTTGAGCAGAATGTTACATTTGCAAATTATTTGTAGCATAATAGATTTGTTTAAAATTGCAAGCTGTATTAAATATAAGCTAAGACAAAAGTACTTGACAATTTAGCGTTTAAGACGAATAAAATAGATAATTTTTTAACAGCAAAAACTTGTGATAGTAAGGTTATTTTTTTGTTATAATATTTGACAACAGTGTTCTATTTTTACATGTAAAGATGGAGTATGGTGCATGTCAAAGATATCACAAACTTGGCCCCCTTTAAACTGCGCAACGTCAGTATGAGTAACTAAATAGCACTTTATTCAAAGAACGATGGAGAAATTTCTGTATGAATAAAAAAAAATTAAAAATATAAATAGGATAAAAAATAAATAAATGACTGTATTATATTTTCACAGTCTTCAATGTCCTATATTTAAATATATTTAGTTTTTTCAAAGCAATACACATATAAGCAAGAACAGAAAGTTCTATTATTAAACATGAATACATAGCACTGACGATACGCATATAGTAATTTAGTGTCTCTTAAAGATTGGCAGTTGTAGCCTGGACGTATTGTGGTCCAAAATAGAGCAAAACAGTTAAGATGATTCGTCTTGGTTATACCAAAGATACAACTTATTTGGGATGTTTACATCTAAAACAGCTATTTTTAAAAGTAATGAGATAAAAAAATTAATAAAAGTTAAAAGATCATGTGTTACTGTGTGATAAAAGATGGTGAAATGTGTCAAATAAAATAACGGATTTTGTAGCAAAGATCCCATTCTGTATCGCAACATATTGCTCAATCTAATAATGACGCGTATTGTTCGTGTGTTAATATAACTAATATTCTTACAATTATCTAAAACAGTGGGATACTTTTATCAAGGATAAGAGTCTACAATAATGAACAGTACACAGCAAGCGCAAATTAAAATATTATCAACTTGTTCATGATCTGATTGAATTTTAATAGGTCGAGTTCAATATTTATCATAAACGATGTTATACGTGTCGCCACAAACCATATTATATGTTCAAAGTGCATATAACATTTATCACTTTGTGACATTCTATCTCTTGTTAGCTTTCTTGGTTTATCACAGCTGGGGCAGAAGTGGGAAGGAAGAGGATTTATGTCACACCCCAAGAAGTAAAACTAGTAAAAATTCTCTATTCCTTGTAGTCCCACCATTCCTTCTCGTATCCTTCATAGACATGTTCTAAAAGCACTTTCCTTCGACTATCGCAGTATCTTGAAAAGCAAATAATATATAAAACTGATTGCAAATAAAATGGCATTACTCTAACAGCAAACACATACAAATCTTACCTATATTTATCCTGAACTTTTTGTTTAATATCTGCAAGATTTTCGCTGGTGATATCCCTTTCAAGATATTCGGAGAGACATTCGGTGGCACTCTCTAAATCTTTTTGGTTATCTTCAAAAATCACAGACTGATTGTTCTTTCTCACATAATAAGCAAAAACGTAAGTGTACATAAGAGTCTGCCTACACGAACACAAAATGTCAACTGCTTTCTTTAAGAATTGTACCTGAAAAATATGAAAAGTACAACTGTTTGCTTAAATCCGCATTCTGCAAGCTTCGGGAAGAAATCTCATTTCATTAATATTATTATATTAATATACCTCAATCCATGACATGTTATGCTGTTGCATCTCTTCCATTTTTTCTTTTACACTGGCATAGAGTTTACTCTCAAATTTTAATGACTGCATGTGATTCATGTATCTGTTGCAATAAAATAGATATCTTTGCAAAGCTGATCTGGACTTTTCCTGTGCATCTCTAGCCACTTTAGCTTCTTCTTCATCGTAGCGATTACAATTATACCAGCTAGAGCCATGTGGTTCCCAAGGCCCAAGACAAACCCAACAGAATTCTGTTTTGCAGTTTTGATTCTTGCAAACCATATGGTTACATCCGCCATCTTTTTCGATGGTTACATTACACTTGGGGCATTCCTTTGTGTTAGCAGCGATCCAGTTTGATGTTTCAGAATCGTCGTCGCACTTTTTAATCCATTTACGAAGTAAATGGCATTTTACAGGATCATGCCAGTTTTCACCGCAATAAAAACAGAAGGTATGTCCACATTTGCAAGTAACTGGTCTTGATTCTACATACTGCACTTTAACAGCATTATTACAATCGGGAGAAGGACACCATCTTAATAACCTATTACACTAAAAGGAAGGAAAATGTATGACAAATGCTTATTTCTACAATATCTTGTAAATCTAACTCATCAACAAATATTTACTTCAACAAAGCTGTTGGTAATTAAGTGCTGATACTTCAGCTTAACTTTGGAATCTTTAACAAGTCGCATAACACTGGCATCATCTACTAAGATGTCACAAGCATGAGCAGCACACGCAATAGTTTGTCCAACTCCCTCCTCCATGATTTTAGTTGTTAAATATTCTCCCCAGCAACCAGTACAAAAACGATGTCCGCATTCAAGACCAGTCATCATCTAACATTTTAAACAGATTTTTGTAATACATCATGATACCGCTATTACACTATTCTGCATACATTTTCTTCAAATGTTACCAATATAAACTTACTGAGGATGGCAGGATCATAAAGCAGATTCCACATTCTTCTGTGCCATTTGTTGATGTTCTTTTGGACTATTAGACATTAAAAATATGCATAATTTTCATTGTGATCTGTTAATGAGGAAGAAATGTTTTTTTTAAATATAGGTAAGTATACTTACCAAAGAGCTTTGGGCGGATCGACTTCTACTTATTAAGGGGCCTTTTCTGAATGGATTAATAACACGTGCTTCAGCGAAAAGTTTCTCCTGATCGCCATCATAAAAGCGCTCCATCAACTTCTCCTTATCCCACTTGAAGTGATTTAGTAAAATACGCGTAGTTGTTGCTGGTATCTGCAGATCATCACACATGTAGAACATTCATCCTACTCAGAGAAATGACAATTTACTCATAAAGCTTACTTCAACAACCGTGTTGACTTCCTTTATAGAGTCAACCATATGCTGTACAATCTCCTCCGTGGAGAGCACCTCGAAGGGATAGTCATCGACATCGGTGGCTCGTTCACGTGGATTACCAGGCTCGATTTCCATAGCAAAGTCAACGTCGTCGCCGCTCGACTCGTTGCCAGAGTCGACATCGTCGTAAATCGTTTCCTCTTCCGAATCCATCGTCGCGCAAAACTAACAGTTCTTACACTAGTGTTTCTCGTCGGTCAGTATATGCTGTATCTACATACACAGCATTCGATACAAGAGTCAGGTTTGTACCTCTGTTTGCGTTGGTCGATTAATTCGTTCTGTCGTCTATGATTGATACGCTAATAGAGCACATTAAAGAGCACGTTAAAGAACACATTAGTGTGTACAAATTAAATTCAAAATACTACTGTATTGATGCGCGCAACACAAATTCGCGTATTAAACTGCGGCGATACATCTGTACACAGTTCGTGTTCGGCGAAATTTGCGTTTGCTTCGAAATGAAGGATTCTTCTCCTTTCTCTCTTCAGTCTGCCGCGCGCGGCAGCGCGACAGCTCCGGCGTGCAATTTGCGATCCTAAAAATCCGACACTCGCATCTGCGTTCGCGAGATGCTACGACGAAACGAGGTGAAAACAGCTTATGTTTCAGCACATGACGTCATCATTTCTTGATAGTTCCCCGAATAAAGCATCAGGCGAGACAGCCTCTCGGTCGCGCGTCACCGTTTCAACGTCGCGCGATGCCGATTCCCGCGTTCGCGTCCCACTCTCCTGACGATGCGGAGGCTTGTGGAATTTTCAGTCGTTTCTGTTACGGGACGAGAAAGAGGACAATATCAGCTGCCAAAACATCCGAAACGAACACTCCGGCAGCTGACGCACTGATAGCTAATGTCACGGCGTACGGAGATGCTCGCACGGTTAGCTGACATATATATCGTCGTCGAATGGGCCGATCATTAATAACGTATGCCCATGGAATTGATATCTTCTTTTTTTATGTTAGTCTCTCGTCGAGGCCAATCTTACGTTCGTCCACCTTGACAGATACGCAGACGTGCGCCACAGTTATGCGTCGTGTGGAACGTGCTCTTAAAAACGGACGCGATCGAGGAGCGCAACCGGAGGACTAGGATTTTCGTCTGATATAAATACGCGGCCACGAAGGACGTGCATGTTGCAATTCGGTTTCGTTGATCGGCGCGCGCTATAATAAACCTCAAGGGAAAGTCCGACTCCTCACGACTCGATCACGCGTGCGTGCGTGCGCGCAAGAAGCGTGGAAACGACGAGGAACGGCGCGTTTCGTCGGTGAGCAGACCCGAAATCTCACTCAGTAAATCGTTGACGAGCGATTTAGCGACCGAGAGCCACGCATGCGATAGTAAACAAATCGAGAAACTAGTGAATTATACACGACTGACGTAACGCAATAACGGCTCCGTTGTCCTTCTCGTATCCGAGACAAAGAAAGAGAAACGTCACGAAAGAAGAGAAGAGAGACACAAAGAGAGAATCTTCCCGCTGTACTCCGTGCTTGTCACGCGGACGCGCGATGCTTGAAACCGCGAATGTTACACTCACGAGCACTACCACAGCACAGAGCTACGAGGTCATGTTGTGCTCTCGCGCGGACGTTTATCCTCGCCCATTGCAGCGGGCAGCGCGATCGTTCGTACGAGCGCGCGACGTTAAGACCGTGAGTCAACCTCGAACGCACCGTTTGCTATGAAAGAGAGCCTTGAGCGAGTTTATAGCTCGAATACTACCGTCACGTCTGCGACGACGCGCGGCATCGGACCTCTCGGCGATCGAACGAGCGTGCCGTCGTTCTCTGCTGTCGCCACTGTCGTCGTTGTCGCAGTCGTCAGATCAAAGTGCCGTGAACGAAGACGTTTAGTAGGAACGCAGTGGGAAATTTTGTGTGATATTGCCCACCGTCGCAGAACGAACAAACAGTAACCTACGGTGTGGACGAGCTGTCGTCATGATGCATGCACGGATGTCACATCGTATCGCGTAACGCTGTCAACTTCAATCTTCGTGCCGTGAAGTTAGCCACGCGCGGTGTGCAATGTATGCACAGCTGATGATCGTTCTCGCGCCAAATCGTATGACCGCTTCCCTCGTCGTTCGTGAGAATGCGTTTAAGCTGTGATTCCCCGGGAAATTCAACCTTGCAGATGCACCACACTTTTTTTTCGCTGTCTCTCGCTCTCTCTCTCTCTCTCTCTCTCTCTGCATCATTGTCACGGACGTGCTCGAGGTGATGTGGTGATCGTTGATGTTTCAAAGTGCATTGTTTCTACGCTCCAAGCTTCGAGAACGTCGGATTTGAATGTATGAAAGTTGGGAGTATTTTACGAAAGTATACGAAAGGAGAGAACGCGTTAAGGAAGGGAGGGGGATTTGTTCGCGAAAGAGAGAAAGAAAGTAGGAAAGAAAGCTCGCGATCCCACGTGATCTGCGATTCTATGCGCTCTTTGTTCTGATAGACGCCAATGGGACCTCGAGATTGGCTTGTGTTTTGGTTAAGTGTATATACAAGAATAATTATTGTAAGAGTCCTTGCACAATGCCAGGCTACATGCAATAGAAATAGGCATTAGCCAAAAGGAATAGGGAGTAGAAATAATTGATCAATTCGAATTCCTATTCCCTGTTTCTATTGCCTGTTGCCTGGCATTCTGCAAGGGCCTTAAGAGTTTCTTTAGTAGAATCATTTAACTTGAAATTTGTGAGACTTCGATGTTAATGTAGTTTCTATCGATGACACGTGATCACGCCTATGTCGGGGCGCTTCAGTGCGCACGAGCAACGTGTACGTGGAGTGTCACTATACACTATCATTTTAGCTCTCTGCTACCTTGCGACGAGCCGGTACACAAATGTCATAGATAGATTATATTACCTCGCGAGAAAAATGAGCCTGCCGACCGTGAGTGATTATTGCCTGCTGGAAAAGATTGGCACCGGAAGCTATGCGACTGTGTACAAAGCATTCAAGAAGGTACGTGCTTCGCACATTTGAGGTTCGAATCGGAAATGGCATGGTATCGAGCGGCAGGATCGTAGCTAGTATCGGGCAAAGCATGCGTGTGTTTATTTACGTTGCCGATGTACTATACATGTAATGGCTCCCTCCCCTCTCACTATTTATTTTTCACGTAAATCACTAAAAAGAAAAGAAATAAAGATACGTTAACATTGAAATCGCCATTATCCTGTGTTCCATTTAGTCAAATATTTTTATCTTCCTGTCTTACTTTCCTTTTGTTTGACTTTAGCACTATTCATCCTTACGTCACATATCTCGCTAGATCATATGAGATATCCGATTGACGAGATACTTTAAATATGATATCGGAAAAAATCGTTATCGACTTTTCGATCGGTTCACAGGGTGGGAGTCGAGAGGTAGTCGCTATCAAGTGCGTGGATAAAGGTTCACTCTCGAAATCAGCGATCGACAATCTCGTGACGGAGATCAAGCTGTTAAATGTCCTCAAGCACGAGCATATCGTAGAGATGAGAGACTTTTTCTGGGACGAAGGGTTCGTTATACGTGAGACTTTACGATATTATGTGATAATCTCTCGCGACGTAAATCGCGCCGATGAATCGAATTGGCGTAATTGCAAACGCGATCCGAAGAGAAATAAGAAATTATATTTTCACGTTATATAAACGCACTTCTTTCCTTTGAAAAAAGAACAATCCATGTGTACGTACGAATAGGAATATATACATCGTCATGGAATACTGCGACGGCGGGGACTTGTCGAGTTTTATAAAGAAACAGCACCGGTTGCCCGAAAACACTTGTCGCAGATTTCTGCAACAGCTCGCATTGGCGTTGCGATATCTGCGTGATCATAATGTTTGCCACATGGATCTCAAACCGCAGAACTTACTGTTAATGAGAAAACCCCGGTTGGTGCTCAAAGTTGGAGGTTGGTAATCAACGTTTCTGATCCCTTTGCAGACATAACTCGAGATCTCGGCCGGATGAAATGACGCTCAAAACAAGAACATGCAACGACGGCGAATGATCTGTCTTTAATCGTCTTTTCAGATTTCGGTTTCGCGCAGTATCTCACAAATTCGGAGCACAAGTTCGCGATACGCGGCTCGCCGCTTTACATGGCACCCGAGATGCTGTTGAAGCACAAGTATGACGCTCGAGTCGACCTGTGGAGCGTAGGGGTTATTATGTACGAGTGCCTTTTTGGAAAAGCTCCTTATTCTAGCAGTAGTTTCCAGGAATTAGCGGAGAAGATCAAAGACTGTCGACCTATCGAGGTCCGTCGTTAATCTTACTTTTCCGAGTTGTGTTTTGCAATTTTTGAGGAAAATCTTATTGAAAATCCATAGTATATGTAACACGGACTATAAATTTTCAACAAAATTTATATCCTCAAGAAGAACGTTTTGGAACCCTAGTTTACATCTCAAAACATACTTTTTGAGAATAATTTTATTAAAAATCCATAGTATATATAATATGAACTGTAGTGTAATTTTTCATTAAAATTTTCTTCAACAAGGACGTTTTGCAGTACAACTCTACGTTTAACTATGAAAACTTAGAATAATTCAACAGTAAGCTAGTTAAATAGTTCAACACTTTCTAATCTAAGTTTTAGAAAAGAATATTACCGTAAAATTCACTAGTTTCCTAGTTTTTCTTTTTGTGCTTTTTCTAATATATCCGGCTAAATCTTCCCTTTGTATATGAGTTCTGGAATGCATATTTTGTTCAATGAAAAAATTTGTTCTTCTTAAATTCGTTCTTCAGTGAGAGAATTCTCCCATTGGACAGGATGCGTGCGTTTCAAAACTTATGATATATCTTATCTGGTCGTGAGTGTACACGTCACGCAATGTAATTTTGGAAGTTTCGAGAAATTTTGGAAGTTTCATCTCGATTCCCATGAAACGTAGCACTATTATTGACTCTTGCAATAGATAGAGTCGCGCAAAATAGATTTGAAAGTACGTAAAAGTTGTTAACTCGATCGGCAGCCGTGTGTAAAGAGTATGCACATTAATTTACGTTACGATTTTAAACGTAGTTCTTTAATCATGAGTCATCAACATGTTATTTACTGTAGATACCAAAGGCGGCTCATGTGTCAACTATGTGTAAGAACTTACTTATGGCTTTGCTCAAACATAATCCTGTCGATCGCATAACGTATGACGAATTTTTCGCTCATGACTTTTTGGACTTGGAACACGCACCCACAAGAGAAAATTATGATAAGGCAGTGGCGTTGGTGCATAAAGCCGTCGAGGCTGATGCCGATAAAAATGCGAAAGAGGCCTTTTACCTATACTGTGAGGCCTTAAGATACTTCATCCCAGTTTTGACCAGTAAGAATCTCTGTCCGATCTTTGACTAACAATATTAATAATTCGTTTTTAAGTAATTAAAAGTCGATTTCTTGGTTAAAATAACGCGCGTAAATCTCTCACACACACACATATACACACACACACACACAATAGAAGCAACGATTGGATCGTTTTAATTGTGCATCATTCAATTAGATGAAAGCGATCCAAAACGAAAGGAAATATTACGACAACGTGTGAATGATTACATAAGACGAGCCGAAACACTGAAAATGGCATTCGTGGACGGAAAGGACAAACAATCGTTGGTCGAGAACAAAAAAGACGCATCCCTACAAAGGATACCGACCTTAGAGAGAAGCACGTTCGCATATAACGAGCTACGTTTGTATCAAATTGTAACTTTTAGAATAAGATATTTGCACACACGATCGTTTTGTCTAATATGGCCGATCACCATTTTTGTTTACGCACGTCAGTATCGTACGAACTTATAACATTGCCGCGACAAGACTTTGAATCCGCCGCAGTAAACTTATAAATTATTAACGGTGGCCATGAAATAACTTGTTTGTCGGTAGGAGTCCTCAGTAAGAGTACCACGGGTATGACAGATGCATTCGAAATAGGAGAAGTGGCCGAGCAATATCTCGCCGAGGGTAACTACGCTCTTGCCTTGGAAAAATTTCAATCATGTCTGAGTGTGCTGGTGCCCTTGTTGGGCAAAGAACCGTTAGGCCGAAGACGAGATTTACTGCACAAACAGGTGATTACAATCAATCGTAATACTCTGTCGGCAGTGAACGGATTCACAATTATTGCCCGGTTCTGCCAAAGATAGTGCGCGGATAATGAGTACGAAGAGTCGATTTCGTCGGTGAAATGAAGGGAGGGTTTAAGTTCGTTCGTGAGGAGCGGTTATCACCTTGCGTGTTAGTATCAAACTGCGAAGCAAGCGCGCAGGAACCCGAAAGAAAACCGTCTCGAAAAGTACGAGCCAATTACGTATTGCGATCGGTTCGACGAGCTCGGAAATCAGGCGGTCCGTGAATGATAACGCGTCAGAGAGACAATTTCATGTGGAGATGTTGCGAGAGAATCGTTTGCTAATGGAAAAATACTTATATTCTATATATATACATATATGGAGTTTTTATCTTAAAACTTCCGGCGGGGTAATGCCGAATATCTCAATACACAGACCTTTGTACTCATTTCAATTATAAAATAAACGCACGTATACTCACGTTTTTATACTTCTAATATACTTTCTGCGGGGAGATTAATTCAGATTTTTTATATCTGGTATATGAGAAATATCTGCTGTAAGATATATCATTTTATCTGTAAGAAGGTTATGTGAGAAAACTGATTCTTTAACAAGACTGCAGCGAGTACATGTTACACGATGTACGTGATTAGTCGGTTGTGAAAAAAACAAATCCTCTGTCAGAGGATATAAGTACTATTATGTTGTTACAGGAGAAATTACAGGATATTTTTTAAATATTATTTTATTAATGTGCATATTTATATCAAGTATCATTAACTTAGACAGCACAAGATTTCCAAGGGATATCTTGGACATATTCGGAACGTTTTTAGGATGTCTTGTGGAGATTTGTGCTGTTTTGATAATATCGTATCAAATTTTAGTTTATATATTTTCGAATATATTGAAAGCTTCGTCTCTAGATATTTGACTCACTAAATAATCAATACAAGAAGTAATTTTGTATTTTTTAATTAATAATCACGGTGAACGAGTATTTGGTTTGAAAATGTCGAAGTCTGAATTAATTAGAAGGTATTAGTAACGTGGTGCATAGATTTTCAATTATAAAATATTTACATATTCCTCACCAACAGGTACAAATATGGATGAAAGAAGCCGAAAGCACTAAAGGACTTTTAGCCACCAAGGATATAGAGGACTCCTCGCAACGTGCATCCGATGAACAATGCGTTTTACAATAAATCGTGTAATAAGTATTGTAATAAATTATTTTTATTGTCACAATTCTCTGTTGTTCTTCAGTGTTTCTGATTTTGACAGCAGGAATGTCAGCCAAATACATTATAGGGATATCTTGAAGATATCGCATATCCCAAATATATCTTTAGGATATCCCTATATCCTATATCTTTAGGATATCCCTATATCCTATATTTTAGAGACTTGATATGTATAATGCAACACATTCTTTCTCCCTCTCTTTCTTCTTTTCTCTTCCTAGCGATTGTCATGTGTTATGTATCCATTATATTTTAAATTAATTACTGTTATGTGTTATGTATCCATTATTTTATCCATATAAATTAATTACTGTTATGTGTTATGTATCCATTATATTTTAACTTAATTACTGTAATATAAAATGTGATAATACGTAGAATTTCTTGTACTCATTAATGCGGTAATATAACGGTTATTTAATTAAAATGCATGAACTAAAAGAAAGAAAATTAATAGATAATTAGTAGTAAATTTCAGAACAAAGAACTCCTAACAAAGAACTCCTAACAAAGAACTCCTAACAAAGAACTCTAAAGAAGATTCTAGATTTAGAGAAATATTCAAAACAAGAGGGCGCTCGCTACAGTGATTCTACGATTTGTAGTATGATCATGTGACCAAATAACGGTCACAGCTATCACGAAATCTCATGGAAAATTCCCATTTCTGCGCGTCGCTCCTCCCTCCTCTTTTGTGTAAATACATATATATATATGTACATAACCTCTCCGTCATTCGTCTCGTATATACAATACCCCCACTATCGTTGTGCTTATATACTCACTCCCACTCCTTTCCAAACGGTTAGTCCCCACCACTCAGATACATGAACCGGATGTGCGGCAACGTCGCAATTTAAGTATATAAGGACCAATGGATGAGGGGGGTTGAAGGGGGAGAGTTACGTGGGGTGACGAGTACAAGAAAGAACTGGCAACGTGTGCCACATTCAAATCTGGTCTGTGCTCCGATCGGCCTCTCTCGGTCGTATCCGTATAGTAAAACAGTAGAAAACGGGGAATGCGCGAGAGGATCGTAGCGTGCGTTTGTCGTCAAGTGTAGTGTACATACACCGCGTGTGTCGCGACGTAATACTACAACGATGCGGAGATTACACGCTTCATCAACAACAACGTCGATTGTGCTAGTAACAGAGAGGTTATCGCGTTGAAACGTGTTTCGTCAGTGTGTACGTGTCTCTTTTCTTTCTTTCTTTCCACACACACACACTCTCGCAGAAACTCTCTCTCAACTTCCTATCCGACTCCATTTCCGGTACCACGGCGTGGAGTACTAATAGCGATAGAGCAACGCACGGGAGAGACCATCACTATCGACGGTGTGTCCTCGCGCGCGCCGACATCGACACGGTGGCGACGGTGTCGAGTAGGACTCTCACTTCCTACTGGCCCTTTCGTCCCGCGCGTACGAATTTTCGCGCGCACACGCGCCCGCGCTCCGCTAGTCGCATGCACGCAGCAACTTGATGTAAATGTCACGGGCGCGCGACGGCGGCGGCGGTGGTGGCATCGTGACTGTGTTGCGAGGGAGGTTCCACGCGTGGAAGTATGTGCATGGAAATTCAGGCTAACGAGAAGAAGCAGCAGAAGATGGGCGACAAGAACATAGAAGAGGACCTAGAGATCCTAGAGGCCCACATTTACAGAGGTTAGTTTTGAGGTTATGGGTGGCGGCAGAATGGCGCGTATACCCGTGTCTCTCTTCATGCCGCCTTCCTTTTCCCTCCACTCTCGCTCTGTCTCTCTTCTTCTCTTCCTGTCTCTCCCTTCTTCTCTCTCTCTCGTTTGTCTGTTTTTCTATTTCGCTCTCTGCTCCCTCCATTGCACGATCTCTGCCTTCTACATGTATATCCTCCTACTACGCGACGCATTCGCGGATCCCCTTCCACAGTATAATACTACCCTCCCTTCTGCTGGCACCCAGGAGGTGTCTGTGTGTCTTTACGAAACTCGCCTCGTGCGGACCGGCTAACGTGGTTGTGCCGGCGACTATCTGTCAAACGGTGTTGTTTATAATAACAATTTAAAGCGTGATTGAAACGGAAGAAATAACGTTCTGTCAAAAACGATACAATATCGAATGGTCAGTTTATAGAGTTTTGTTTTAATATATAAAAGTCAATATCAGGAGATACTGATCACTAGAAATGGATATTGCTTAATAAAATATACATTTGGAAGATGTTTCAGGATATACAGATAGATTCAGTTACTTTTTATAAAAAGTTCTTTTTATGCAAGTTTGTTTCGTGAAACAGTTCCAGCGATAAAGATGACGTTTTACGACAAGATCGATAAAATATTTCTGGTCATTGGCCAAAAAACAATGAAATTATCAGGACATATAATAAGTGAATTTTCCATTGCAAATATATATCTAGATTACAAGTAATGTGTTTGGAATTCCAATAATATCCAAGTGTTAAAATTTAATAATGTTCTTCAGACATCAAGCCGTAGTGAAAATAAACATTCGTTGATAAACATATATATTTCCTATGCAGAAGATCTCTGATGTTTATTTTATTTTACAAACACTTTTACTTGGAAATGATGTCATAGTTTATTTAAGGCGGTCGGTAAGATGATCTTTGAAGGCGTAGAAAGCTTGATCTATCCTTATAAATCATATTGAAATAGAAAAAGAGGTAGGACTTTAAATACAGAACGCCCATTTTGTTTTAAAATGAAAAAGAAGCTCATTGTGTCATGAGATATGCTTGAACACGAATGTAAATATGTATGTGGATGCGTAATTTTCGTTTATACATTTACAAAACTGACAGTGCATGGGCAGGCAGGCAATATAAATACATGTTTTTCTTATGTGGTTTTCCAGGCAATTATAACGAATTTCAACAATTATAACAATTTTGAAAAATATAAGAAAATGATGCATTCCAAAATGATCCAAATGCCAATTATAACATCGATACGAAGATACGATTGCAGTCAATGTGGTTACATATTTTAAAATGCTCTAAGAAAAATATACTGTATAGCCCCTGGAATAGAATCCCCTTTTCATGTTTGCCGTATAAAGTAAACGCAGCGTACCGCTCTTAAATTTTCTCGATATTGCCCAGCGGTGCGTTTCTCTAGTGGCCCATTATTACACAAAAGTATGATATTATCCATATATCATATTGCATTTTCTATACATCCTATACTTACCGGCGGGATCGTTTCGTAGAATCGCGTTGCTATGTAATAATATAATACGGTAAAGCCGGGCGCATCGTGTAACATGGAGCGAGTCTTGCTCGCTGCCAGCGCGCCCGTGTGTTCGTCAGTCGGCTCGGTCTCTCATGTACTGTGCGCTATGTGTAAGTCATATACAACGAGCGAGAGCCGGGAGGGACATGTGCGGCCCCACGGTATATAATATATCCGCCACTATTTACTACATAAGAAGCGAAGAGTGATGTAACAAAGAGGCAACTCGCCGAAGATAGCCGAGCGTGGCCGAGCGCGGCGATATGCTTCGCGCAAGTCGCACCACGCGTGCTTTCGGTATACCGTAGGAGAGCGCGCGGCATATACCGCAAAGCTCGTCAGCTGCTGCGAGTGAACGGCGCCATATGCAATTTTGCGCGCGTTGCGCAAAAAAAAAATGACGCGTGCGTAAAGGATGGAGGCGCGCTGTGCTCCGCATCGGGTCTTTTTCATTCGCTCGGCTCCGACCTTTGCTCTGTTTACGCTCTATATTACCTTCCGCCAACCGAGCGAGAACGAGAACGCAGGGCGCGAGCGGTGACCTTCATCTTCTCGGGTTTATTTATCGGTCGCGAGAAGGAAATGCGCCTTATTAGCGTTCGCTTGCAAAATCTATTTGCCTCTACGCGATCTCGATCTCGCGCTCGCGTTTAGAGTCCGTGCGCGCGTAGCGCAACAATCGGCCGTCACGGTCATACTTTCGCAGAGTATAGAAAATAGGACGTGCTATTATAGATAGAGCGGTCGGAGAATGCGCGCGCGCATGAGAGAGAAAGAGAACGAACGAGCGAGCAAGCAAGCGAGCGAGTGAGCGAGAGAGAGAGAGAGAGAGAGAGAGAGAGAGAGAGAGAGAGAGAGAGAGAGAGAGAGAG